TAGCCCTTTCTGTTTGCTCCATCCTTGGAAGTATTTAAGTGCAGGTTAGATGGCGCTTTGAGCAACCTGGTCTAGTGGGAGGTATCCCTGCCCATGGCAGGGGGGTTGGAACTACATGATTGTTAAGGTCTCTTCCAGACCAAAGCATCCTATGATTTTATTGCACCAATGAAAAAAAAAATAAAAAAAAAAAAAACCAAAACAAAACCAAAAACCAAACCCACAAACCAAAACACCACCATTTCTTTTTCTCACATAAGTTTTGCAGGCCAAGTTGAGTCCATGGAAGATCGTTCATTCTTACTTGAATGAATCACAGGTTTGCAGAGCAGTAGCTCTTTGGTTACTCAAGACCCAGTGACTCAGAGCGTTTGGGCCAAATCAAGTATATATTCTTCCAACACTTTCTCTTTAGAACTAATGCTCCTAAAATCTATACCACGCTACACAGATCTTTTTTATTTTTTTGTTTTTAATTTCTGAACAGGAAGGACCACAACAAAAACTTTTATAAGTATTGACAGGGAAAAAGTTAAATCTGAGATGTAGTCCTATAGCATCCTCCTTCTTGCCATTTTTCCCAAATGCATGTCCAGTCTCAGTCACCAATTGGGCAAATAAATACCCATTATATGGCCCAAACAGAAGCCTGCCTGTAACTGGATATGCATTGTCCTGTCATAAAAGGAACATGTCAGCAGTCTTCAGCCTGGTAGCTTGAGACATACACACTACCTCCTATCCTGTGACAGGGAGAATTATCACATAAAAGTAACATGATGAAACACATCCCATCACACAAGGGGAAAAAAGGCTGCAATACATGGTTTGAGAACATCTCTGACCTACTCAAAAGTTTAGCACTATTGAGTTAAAGCCATAACTAGGAAAGCCATCCTACCATGGCAATAGAGGTAAAAGTACTGTGGGTTTCAATCAGGATTTATTTACCTTCTTCATCTGGATAAGTATGTACAACAGAGGCTGCCAACCTTCTGCTCCGAGTCTTATTCAAAAATCTTTACGGATCCAAAAAGCTTTAGTCATATACCCAAGGTGTATCTTGTGAGCAGAAGGGAAGTGGAGCCTCTGGCACAGTTACAGGGGAGCAGACAACACTCACCTCTGCATTCTCTACTTCATTATCAGATGATGCAACAGAGCTGACTGCAGGTGTAACCCCAGGTGACTTAGCAACATCAGAAAACAGATTTAAATAAAATTTACAGTGGACTAAAAACTCAAGTGCAAGATGTAGAGAATTTCTCTAGTATGAGAGCTTCCCATCACCACTCTATGTAGTGGGGCAAGCCTGGAAATACTGCAAAACTGCACACCGTGTCTCCTACCATCATGTATTATGTAGACTCTGTTCTGACTGGAGCACACTCATTATACAAGCATCGGAAACATATCCTTTAGGGCACAACTCCATAACTGGCTCTTCTTATGCCTGCACACTATCAGTGCGTACAAAGTTTTCAGTACCCTTGTGTATTCTCCAAACCTTTTTTATGTAAGAGAGATCCAGAGTAAGTCTCAACCTTAACTGTTTTCAGTATTCTCAATATGGCCACGAAGTATAAGAACAGTTATGTGCTGCAAAACATCACGCTGTTATGAGAGTCATAAGACGTATGGGTCACGGAATTTTGTCTCAATATTTCAAAATACTTCAAATGCTACAATGTGAACATTAACCAGATGCAGAAAAATATCTATTGTCCAGCCACCCTCCCACTTGAGCTCTATTTCTCAGGAAGCTGCTCCCATCAATTATTTCACCTAGAGGCCAGACTGACCTTTTCCCCTGCCTTCATTTTTGATACCATGACAGGATAAAAGCTAGAAGGACATACTAATGCTAAAAGCATCCCTTTTTAATAGTTTCTTTGTATATCACACGGATAAAGGAATAAAACCCTGTCTTGAACACAGATGCAGCAGACATGCTAATACATTATGTAAGCCCCAGCAAATAATTTATAACTTTCTGAAGGCAATTCATTTTAAGTTACCCTGCAGCATGATAGCACAGTTTAAAAGACGGATTTCAGTGAGAAAAACCTGATCTGCAGAGTATATTGATAATGAATCAAAAAAATGGCTTTAAAAAAATCCTCCACCAACAAAAAATGACTGCAGTTTAGGAATTCTTGCATAAACCTTGCTTGCTGTCATATTTTGTTCACTGAAAGTATCTGGGCTCCGCAAGCATGAACGCCGATTTCGAAACACAAGCTTATTCCATTATGAATAAACTCTAATACATACCTGAAGATATTCCAGCATTACTTTTCAATTAAGGGTCAAAGCGATTATCTTTGCCCTTCACAAACAATACTTGGGCAGCATGCAACAGCGTATTTCAGTCTAGAATGGCGCACAAACTTATGGGTGTGGTAAACAGCCTGTCACATAGTTATGACATCATCTGAACTGAACTCTGCCAAAAGTTAGTTCAGGCATATAAATTAGTACTAAACACACACACAAAACCTGTGATTTCAAAGCTGTACTGTGTCAGGTTTCTTCTGACTAAATACTTCAATTCTTGTTCAGCAACAGCATTATGAAAGCCAGCCTGAATGAAAGCCATACTTCTGAATGGACAAACTACTTTTTCCCCAAAATAAGCAGGAGAACAAAACAAAAAAAACCTAAACCAGTAAAACCTGAGAATGTTACTGAGTCTTGAATCAGCTTCATTGCAGGTGCAAAACTGTCTTGTGTTTTTTTTTTTTCCCTAAACATGATTTATATTACATATAAACCTACAGCTTACATATTTATAGTGTAGCTCTTTAAATACAGGATTACACTTTCAGGCAGATTAGCACACTTTTGAGGGGGCTAAAAAAAAAAAAAAAAAAAAAATTTAACCTAAATTCATTTGTATGAATCGTACATTCAATTGGTGAGTAGGCTTTTTAAAATTCTGCACCAGAAAGACACTTAAACTTTGCCATACCCAGCACCTCTTGCACTAATCCTCTATGATACTTTATTAGAATTTAGCACTGCAATAGTTATGCTTACAACCCTTCAGTTTTTCAGGTAAGGCTGTTACATTACTCATAATTTTATTTTTGTTCCTTAGTCCTCCTAGAAAAAAGAACACTTTGAAAAATTAAAGCTGGGTATCTAGTCCCTGACAGCTTGCAATTCTGACCTCTCTTTAAGAAAGAAATCCTACCAGTTTAAAATTGCCCAGACAATTCAAACTGAAAGAAACAGGTCCCTTGTGAACTGCCTGCACTAGTTACCTAGCTAATCCACAAAAACAATGCAAGTTTACTTTGGCTCAAACTATCAAGAGCAAGGATGTTGAATGTTACGTTTCTAGAAGGATTTTTATTTTTTTTTTAATTTCCTGTTACTGAGGCATATCTGTATTTGACTTACATAGGAACTAAGGAATCACACACCTGGAAAAAGTGTCAAGTACCAGTAATAACAACAACAACAATAACAATAATGACAACCACCACCCTAGTTAAAAACAACACCATGCTTACACTGACACTAAACATCTTTCCAAGAACCTTACAGCTTGCTTGCCATTCAGTTATTGATTTTGTTAATCTATGCTGCATGTTGAGAAGGAAATAATAAATCTTTACCACAAAGTATGTTTACAGTCATAAACTGGAATATATAGGCCAAGATAATACAATTTACTACTTACTGTACTTCAGTATTTTATTTCTTGCCACTCAGTGAAACCACTTTGAAAAGGAAACCATCAGAAAGCATTCACTGATAGTTTCAGTTCTTGCATTCTAATTTTCATACTGCTCAGCAACAACAAATGCACAAGAAAGATAAAAAAAAATACCAAATCATAGTTTCACATCTGCTGTGCACTTTTCAGACTCCCATAGTGGCTCTTTTAAAAATTTCTTCCATTTGAATCACAAAGGGAATAAGTTCCCACGTATCAGCTGGGTTGTCAAGTAAGCACATTTCAGTACTCTTCATATTTATTTAGTAATTTGTTTTCCTTTCATCCGGATGTACTCTAACTTCATAATCAATGTATTCCTCGACTTAGTATGCACTTAAATTGAATGGCTGAGTCCCCATACAGGAGACTGGTCTTGATTCATATTTCAATTAAAAAACAAAGCAAAATAAGACAGTCTTGGCAATGAGTCTTGGGGCTAAACACTCCCAATATCTGTGGAGATAACCCCCTTCCCCCCTGCACTTCTTTAATACCTAGAAAACTGCTAATAAGAATATTTTATTGTATCTTTAAGCACTGTTTAAACTACTAATAGCACTGGTATCATTTTACTATAATTTCAGATTTTATATTTGTGTTTTATATACTAATTCCATTGTTTAATATTTAGATATGAATATTTACATAGTTACAAAGAACAAAATCACTATCCTAAAAAGTTTTCCTGGTTATCTTTCTCACTAAACAATTACACAAGAGAAACACAATGTGACTAACAGGTCTTCATGGACAGAAAACCCAGAAAAATAAAAACTTCTTGGTTCCCTAAAAGTCAAAAGCTATGTACTGAGCATGTCTGCTTCTTTCTAAAACACAAAACCCCCAAGCCCCAGCAAAAACCCAACAAAAGAAAACATAAACATACAGCCTGCATAAGCGATCAGCATAGGTTTATTTATATTTGTATGTCTAATGTCTGTATCGGTGGTTATTAATGCAAAATCATTTTTAAAGCCCATGCAGCTGCCCTTCCACAATAAGACAAGTAGACAGGCTTACATTTTACATCAGATTCGAGTGAGCATTGTTTCCCAGTTTTAAAAGATTTTATATAAGCTGCACATGTTCAGTGCCAAGGATATTTGTCACCAACTTGCTTTGCTGATCTCTTGTAGCAAAACATTGATAATGCACTGATTGTTACACAGTTTCCTTGGTTTAATTGCTAATCCCTACTAATTTCATCACCATCTTCTAAGCATTCTTTGCAAAGTAATAATCCCAATCTGGTGAAAAGTAAAGAGCTTCTTACCATTCTGATTCAAAATTTTCCCCGTCTCTGGAGTCCAGCAGCAGGGAGCTGTTGCTGTTGTACTGCCTACTAGAGACACCAGAGGCTTTGGAAGCAGAGAATGTTTTCTGTGGTTAAAATGTATCACCACTGATTATATTTCAGTCTCTCAGTTCCTAGCCTTGATGCTCTGGAAATCAGCCAATCCAAGCGATAAAGAGGTTTGCAACAAGAAGTTGCAGAATTTTCACAGCAAACGCTTCATGGAAATGTTTTGCTTCTGATACTTGTTTTTTATATCCACTATATGTTAAAATAAACCCTGGCTCCCTTTTCCCTCCTCCTCTTTTTCTTTTTTTTTCCCCCAAGATGAGATTCATATATTGTTCACAAGGGACTTTAGCACTTGCTACAGCTAGGCACAGTGCAGAAAGGCATCATGCCAGATTATGCATATATCTCTGCCAAGACACCTGAATTTTGACTTGCAACACACCCTGTTATTCCAAACATGGGTTTCCTAAGCCAAAGCTCCTGACTTTGCCAAAACACACGGTGTTTTTGTAAGACAGCCAAATGCCCCTTCAAATTAGCTAAGAGCATCTTTTATTTGCAATGTGGTCGCTCTGCGTTGTCTTTACTTTTTTTTTTTTTTTTTGATAAACACTTTTTTCCTAGTGAAGACAAGGTGGTAAATTCCAAAGAGATGAAATGATCAACTGGTACTTCTGCTATGTGTTTCTACCCCCATCCCCTCAAGAATACACACCACAGACAATCTCTCTGCAATGCTGTAACTACGATTAACTACTTAGTTAATATTACAACCACTTTAATGTTCTCAGTGACAACCTCAGGATGCTGCTGTGCTGGGTGCGATACAAAAGAAGCCCAAAAAACAAAGACAGTCCTGACTCAACAGACCTTGCTGTCAAAGAACACAGTAAGAGATGACAAAGAAGGAGGCAGAAAGGCCCAAATCAGACAATTCTGGCTCATTTAATAGGTAGAGTAATAACCCAGCAACCTGACTATATCCAAGCTTTGGAGGAATTACAATAAGAGAGTTTTAACAGAAGGGCCATTAAGAGGCTACGGAGACTACCTTAGAAATTCTCTCAAGGAGGAAGCATGTTATTGTACTAGAAAGCACAAGATTGAGTCTGAAATTTTAATGAATGGATGAAAGAGGATGGAGTCATTGCTTCTTCAATGACTGAGAGTTTATAAACATCTAGAAAAGTTAAGACCATGCTCTGTGAAAGAAAGGAAAAGAAATTCAGAAGAGGTGCTCTTAGCTTTCTTCTCTTTGTAAGAGGATTCAATAATGATTTTCTGATTCAAACTGAATCAGTTTGAATGGGTATGAGAGTGCATGACTGACCTGAAAAAAAGCAAAGGAAAGGACGCTGGACTAATTGTCAAGCTTGTTTAGAAGGTGAAAATCAGCTGGATGGACATTATTTGTTGAAACAACAATGAATTTATTGGAAGAAATTATAGAGAGAAATAAGACTTAGTCATCAATAGCACTGACTGTTTTTTCAAACTCAGAGAAAGAACAAAGTAATAAATGACATGTTATGGAAATCACAAGATTAAGTTGTTTTCCAAGGTGACAATAAAGCAGCAGCAGGGGAGTTTACAGGAGGTAACAGCCATATTGAGCTGTTATTTTCTAGCTGAATAGCCACAAGAAGATTTCTCTATTACATACTTTTCTTTTTAGCCAAAACTAACAAAATTTATCTGCAAGCCATCACAACAAAGATGAACTTGATCTGTATTTACAGATGTGTTATCTTATGTAAATAAAGGGACCAAGTTTCAACCCCCAATAAATACAGCAAAACAATGTCAAAAAAAAAAAGGTGTTGACAGAATCATAAAGGAGGGTGAAAAATTAAACAAAAGAGATTCTATGAAACCAAGACAAAATTTCGGGAAGAAAATGGGCAACAGTATAACAAGGTAGTTTACAGGATAAAGAAAGTGTAGAGCACTGGTTCCACTGTTTGACCAGAAAGCTGTCTGCCGTGACTTTGCCTTAGCAGCTTCTGCAGCATGGAGGGAGCAGAAGATGCATTGGAAAATGCCCAGTGCTGCACCAGAAGTTTGGCAATGATAGCAAACGACTTGTATAGCTGGGTTAGTCAGACTGCTAATGGGACTCCCATCTCAAGGGCTCCACTTGTAATATCCTTGAGATCCAACAGACAATTCTGTGAAACAATTCAAAAGCTACAGAGGGCTTGCTCTATTTTAGAAATAAAAGCTTTTCCATCAGAATATTTTCAGCCACCTTGCTAGTGTGTGCAAACCATTTGTGTAAACCTTGACATTTCTGAAACCCTTATAATCACAAAAGATACATACTGGGATAGTGATCAGATGGTGAATATGAAGACACGCAGCCAAATCTTGCCCCTGTAGGTTTCTACAGATAACATGGATGGAACAGGGTGATATGACCCTATGCACACATGCAAACAATTTTCAACTCTCTCTTTCAGTCAGTGAAGCCAGATACCTCCATTTCATATTGAATAGTTAATAATTAATTGAATGCATGCAAATTTCAGAGTGAATTCTGGCATCTCATATTTAAAACAGACACATCCCAAACTCAAGTGACTATATAATCTCCTAAATTCAACTAAGATGTTTCTATATAGTACAAGCACTATCAACACAAGTATACAGGCAGAACTGACATGCTATAGCATTAGCACTTTTCCTTCAAAAGAAGGCCTCCTTTTTCATTTACTGTAAACTCCTTCCAACACACACACACAGAGGCAAAAAGAAGTGTCCATTAAGGGAAAGAACTGCGTACTGGTATAACTGCAATAGTTTAAACGTGAACTTCAACATTTACCCCTACATAACACTTAAAGATGATTTTGTTTTCCATCAGGTTAACTGTCATCAGAGGCTATTTACAAAATAAAGAAAAAAGCTCTCATGGGCTTCACGTTCTCAAAGGATCACATTCCTTAGGCACCTGTAGAAATGCAGCTAGCAGCCCACACAGATTAAACACTTATTTAAACTGTTTTTCTTAAGCAATGACATACGCAAGCCCTTGAATGCTCAAAATGATCAAGGAATGCACAATGATGCTGAAAAAAACTGTTGTTGGATTAAAAGTAATCTATTTTTATGACGTAACTTCCATTGCCAGATCTACTCCTTCACATGTGCATGTTTTCTACAGCATGTAAACCTTTGCACTAGAGCCCTCAGTCTGCAACAATCAAACAGCTGTATTAAGAGGTACCAAAGATAAATGAATTGATCAAAAAACTGAATTTTTGTCCCAGTAGAATTTTTTTGTTGTTGTTATTACGGCATGCAATTGCTATCTGAAGACAGGATGGAAAAATCAAAGTATTTCAAATTTTCATTATTTCAAAAGCCCTAATGAATTTAAATGCAGAACTGTTGAGTCATTTTGGATTTGCTTGAGATGCCACAAAGCTTAAGGGACATGCAGTTATGGCTTTCTTGGGGCACTCTAAGTCTGTTCAAATCATCCCTAGCATTATGAAGCACCATCTCTCCCCATAAGTTGTAATACATTAAAAGACCTATGAACAGCTTGCTAGAAATAGTTAAAAATAAATCACAGCTCTGTGACTGAGATGAGGAATTAGGCAAAAGTGTGCAATATTTTTTTACTTTGCAGAATGAAGATAAACTAGGTTACACACATCTGCAGGAATTCTAAAAGTCAGGAAACCCAAACAGATACAAACTCTCAAAGAAACCTACAAAACAGAAAAATGACTAACAAAAGACTTAGAATATTTAATAATTTGATAAAATATATATTTTTTCCCCATTCCTTCTCTGAAATTTTCACTCTCAGAAAAGGTCTAAATCCACCATGATAGCTGGGATCTATACAGCATATCAACATGTATATTCTCATTTTAAGGATATTCCATTTCCTCAGGAACGGGAAAACAATAAACCATGGTGCAGAACACGGTAAGACACTTCAAGACCTTAAGACACCCAAATATTTTAAAATCCAAGCCAAAATACTTCTAGTATGAAGTTTAGCCTATCTTGGTCAGATGTACTTGGAACAACAGAATCTATTTCCATGTACTAAAAAAAGTCAACTGAACGCATGCTGACAATCACAAAAATTCCTTTCAGACAGCAGTGTTTCACCTTGCAAGAAGCTTTACCACATTCTCACATGCAAACTACATTTCAAAGAAATATTTTCTCATTATTTTGTGAAGAACTATTTCAAAGTTAAAGCTAAGAGTGAAAGTTAAAAACAGTTGCAAAAAAAAATGCCATCAAATTAAAAAAGTTTTCTTAAAAAAAAAAGAAAAAACTCAAAAGAGTGCCTTCTTATCTATCAGATGCTGCTGAAAAAACATATGAGTGCTGCCTCCCAGAGTCCAGCTGCCTAGAAACAGTTTCTTCTCTTTTGCTGTGGTACACTGATTCAGAGTCCAAAGAAACGATCTCCAAGGGCTGTGAAACAGTAACTAGATTCTCTGTTTCTGCCAACTATTTATACCAAAAGACCACCCCAGCTCAAGCTCTGACAGACCTAGGCCTCTGCTGTGCTGCCCATACAGCACAGCCAGGTAACAGCTTCAAAACGGAGCAGAATCTGCCTCTCATAGACACATGCAACCATATAAAGGAAAAGACAGTTGTTAGACCCTCTCCATAGGCCCCCAGATTGCTGTGCAGAGCCTGCCTCCACCACTTCCCCACTTGGAGCAGGCAGGTGGGCTATCAGAGACTCTTCAGCGCCCTGGGGAGACGGCTGTGGGAGAGGAGGCACAGGAGTGGGATGCAGCACTGCACTGAGAGGGTGGGCAACTTCCACCTCCTGTCATCAAAATCAACAGAGACTATGACACAGTTCCTATGCATGCTGCAGCTAAATGACTCAGACCAACATTTCTTGATCTAACCACTGGAATGAGCACACAACTGTGATCATATTCTGACACAAGAAGCAGATGTTTAAGGAGTTTCATTTAAAGAAGTTTAGGGTTTAGGCTATTGTATTTTTAACACTAATCACAGATCACTACTTTGCAAGTTTAGTGAACACCTTTGCCAAGCATCCTTCCATCACAAAGTAACTCAAGGGATCTTTCTACAGTCTACACTGTATATCCCATATATGTTAGTGATGATGATACACAGCCTTAAAATATCAGAATTGTTATCAGTATAATAATAGCTTATCGGCAAACTTTTCTGTCTGAAATACAAGTATTTCCCTCAGTAACTTCCATTCCTAAAGAAATACTCGCTAATATTCAAAATGGGAAGAAAACACAAATCGGCACATCTTGGTTTCATGTTGCTTTCAAGGGGACGACAGTCAGGCACTCTCTTCCTCTCCCTCTCGCCACGAGGGGGGGGTGCAGCATTGCTCGGGCCCCGTTCTCCAGCAAGGAAATAAGTATAAAACACAGAAGTATCATCATCTTAAAACAACCACTTGAATTAACTTAATTAAGCTAAGCAAGAATGATCACAATATATGCCGAGTACTTAATAAAACAGATTTTTATACAAAAAGCCTATGTAATGTATACACTGAAAAATAGCCAATTTTAAAAACAGCTATTCATTTTACATACATTAGAATTTGGCCTCCTACATACATCAAAGCAGCTGTGGTGGTTAATTCAGTTTTGTTTCCATGTGAAATTGCACTTAATATAATTTTCCTAAATTACAAAAGACATTTAATTCTGCTGCAGTATTCTTACCTA